TCAGAGGAGAAGGCACTTTGCAGGGTTATCAGTGGTTTGTGTTTAGGAAGTAGATTGTTAGGGCTTTTAGTTATTTAATTTTTGAGACTGCCCTAAGTAGATTCAAATAGCCACCCTTTCTCTTACCAGATGAGCATAGTAATTGTTTGCTCCACCAGCCATGTGCATATATTCTATAATGTACATGTCCATTCACAAACACATCCATAAATCTTCATGTCATTCACGACAGTGCAAATCAGTTGCTATTGTCTTGTTTGTGTTTTCTTCTTGTTCCCTCTCCCCCTTCCCAAAGCCAGGAGGGATCCTCAAGCACTGGTGAGTTTCATAGTTCTGGGCTCCTTCCTGGCTGTCAATCTTTCATCTGTTAAATGGAGATGGTGAAGCCTCCCCATGTGTGTGACCCAGGGAAAGCCAGCATTCTAACATGGTGGGAATCCCCATGTCCAAAAGTCTCCCTGGAAGTAGCCTCCGGGACTCCCTCCTTCTCTCCTCTTCGCATGTTAGTACAAGTCTACAAATAAACCACAGCCAGACCCACTCTTGTAAAACACCTCTCTTCAAGGCCACTGAAATATGGTCGAGGTGATAGGAACTAAGTGGAGACTGCATGACAGAGTTTTGCAAGACCAATAACTTCTTCATTGCAAATACATTTTTTATCCAACATAATCGGCCACAGTATGGCCATTTGGACGTCACCAGGTAATACATGAGAATCAAATTGACTATATTTCTGGGAATAGACAATGGACAAGGTCATCATCAGTAAAAGCAAGGCTCGGGGCTGATTACGAAACAGATGGTAAATTGCTTATATACAGGGGAAGATGAAACAAAAGGGAGGAAAAATGACGTCTATGAGAGCCAAAAGACACCCTTGAGTATACCCACTTGAACTCAGTGACCATCTCAGGACACTAGTGATCCAAGCAGCATATATAAAGAAAGTCAAAATTCATTATAAACACAGGAAAGGAAGAAAAGAACTACGTGAATTTCAGAAGAGACCTTGAAACTAATCCTTGAACATAGACTAACTCAAGCAAATGGGAAAAAATGATGAAGTAAAAGAGCTTAAGAGAAAATTTCAAAGAGCGGTTTGAAAAGACAAAGTGGAAAGAGGTGATACCAAGGGCTCAAGTAGAAAGAAAATGTTTTAAGAATGATGATGGCAACAAATACACAAATGTGCTTGACACAATGGATGGATGGACGGATTGTGATGAGTTTTATGAACCCCTAATAAAATGATTTTAAAAAGACAAAGTGGAGTATTACAATGCAATGAAGAAGACACATTTGAATCATGGTGTTCGGGAAGAATGTTGAAAGAACTGTGGACTGCCAGAAGAACAAACAAACCTGTCTTAAAGAC